AGTTGCCAGCCCCTTCAGCCCATTCACTTTACAGGTGAGGCCACCTGCGGAAGCAGAACATTGATGCCAATAACAGCTCACCGTTCCATGGCACTCTCTGGGTTCTGAATCACGTTTGAGTTCTCTTTCTCCTTTTATTCTCTTAAAAACCCTGAAAGGTTAGCGGGGTGAGGAAAGCAGGCTGTGAGGCACACAGTTTTCTGGAAAACAAAACAAGGGTGAGAACGGAGCAGTCACTGAACAAACATCGAAGTCCTCGGTGGTACCGGCGCTGTACTGCAGGTGCTGTGGAGGACCCAGGCTGGCCTGCCCACGCCCGTGTAAACGTGGAAACAAACATGTCTTCAGAGTGTGGGCCCAGCACGCCCTGAGGCATGGACAGTGGGAACAGAATACCTGCAGAGGGGGACGCTAAACTCAACACTGAGCTCCCACTTCGCATTTTTCTGTCTTCGGAGCTCTTCTGCATTCTTTCATTGGCTTCTTCCGGGCCCCCACTGTACCCATTCACCCCCCACCCAGCTCCTGGAAACCACCAATCTAGTTTCTGTCTCTATAGATTTGCCTATTCTGGACATCTCATACGAATGGAATCCTACAAGATTCATCCGTGCCATATCATGTATCAGTGCTGCATTTCTTTTTATTGCCCAGTAATAGTCCATCATATGGATATATCACATTTCTTCTATCCATTCACCAGCTAATAGACATTGGGTTTGTTCCCATCTTTTGACTGTGATGAGTAACACAGCTGTGAGCATTTTGGGTGGGCATATGTCTTCAGTTCTCTTGGGTATATACCTAGGAGTGGAATTGCTGAGTTATAAAGTAACTCAAAGGAACCCTGGTGGCACAAAGGCTAAGCGCTCAGCTGCTAACCAAAAGGTTGGCAGTTCAGAACTCACGCAGCGGCTCGGAGGGAGAGAGACCTGGCGATCTGCTTCCATAAATATTATAGCCAAGACAACCCTATGGGACAGTTCTACTCTGTCACATGGGGTCACTATGAGTCAAAATCAACTCAATGGCACCTAATAACAACGAAGTTAAATCTATATAAGATAAATAATATTTTAATGTGCTATTTTAAAAAAGGAATGCAAAAATATCTATGATGAACAAAATATCAACATTTTACGGAAAGACAGGCTGCTCTCTGTTTGATGGCCCTGCAGTGGGAACTGTCTGCAGTGGGAACTGTCTGCAGTGGGAACTGTCATTTCCCATCAGCCCGTGGTCGCGGGGCTCTCGTTACTTTAGGAGAGTTGACAATGGCACACGGAACAGATTAGGCAACTCAGGGTTTTACATATAGTCGCTTTTTTTCTTTTTTTTTTTTTTACTGTAGAGCATTTATTAGCTTCTTCCACTTGGTTCAAAGTAGCTAAGTGTCTATAGGAACACACATTTTCCTTTTTGCCTCAGGTTCTGTTATGGCTCAGCATAGCACTGACCACCTGCTTCAGTCATCTCAACAGCCCTGGGCACCTCATTCTTCAACCCCTCTGCCAAGGTTAAAGTCGGGGAGAGGGACTTCCTATGGTCCACGACTAGTGGTGGCAGAGCTGAGATTTGAACCCAGGTTTGAGGCAGAGGCCCAGCTCTTCACCACTATGCCTCTCAGAAGTTCAGAATTTGTGTGGCCAAGGGAAAGTCACTTAACCACTCTGAACCTCAGTCTCTTCTTTGGTAAGGTGGGCATAAAATCTTATATATATTATTGTTATGAGGAATCAATGTGAGCATCCATAATAAACTATGAAATTTGCCTCCCTTCCCTGGAGGTGCTTGCCTGAGCTGTCTCTTGAGACGATAAGATGAAAACTACTGAGTGAAACTTGTCCCTGTGTGTGCTACAAAGACTTACCATGTCTCTTCATGTCCCCCCAAATGAAGCCACATGTGAAAATTTTGTTTTAGAGCTAAGGGATAGAAACATAATCTGTTTTCCCCAAGAAACAGGTATGTTTTCTTCTCATGTGCAGTCAGGAGGATGTAACTGATTGTATTTCCCTCTTCACTTTGGCCACCAGGAAACTCAATGCCAAATTTGTGGTGCTAAAGGAACAGGTTCTTGCTTATTTATGTTTTCATTTTTCCTATGGTGTACAATTCCTTTTATAATTTATATTTATTATCCTGATGTTTAAATTTTTATTTAGATTTTACTGTTTTGTCATGTGTAGTTCCTGATGGTCACCTAAATTCTTTGTAAAATATGTCAAGTAGAAATACACTTTTTTAAAGTATAATTTATTTTTTTTGTTTTTCTTGAGAATATACACAGCAGAAGATATGCCAATTCAATAGTTTCTACATGTACAATTTAGTGATGTTGATTACATTCTTCGAGTTGTGCAACCATTCTAACCCTCCTTTTCTGAGTTGTTCCTCCCCCATTAACATAAACTCACTGCCTCCTAAGGCTCCTATCTAATCTTTCAAGTTGCTGTTGTCAGTTTGATCCCTTATGGATAGATCTTAAAAGAGCACATTGCTCAAGGCATACATTCTTTACTAGTTAAGCTAAACTATTGTTTGGTTTAAGAAGACTTCAGTGGATATTTTTGATTTAGAGTTTAAAGATTATCTTAGGGCAATAGTTTCGGGAATTCACGCAGCCTCCATGGCTCCAGAAATTCTGGATTCCATGAGAATTTGAAATTCTGTTCTGCATTTCCCCCCTTTTGATCAGGATTCTTCTATAGAATCTTTGATCAAAATATTCAGTAATGGTAGCCAGGCACCATCCAGTTCTTCTGGTCTCATGGCAAAGGAGGCACTTGTTCATGGAGGCCATCAGTCAGGCATTCCATTTCCTCCTTCTATTCCTTACTCTCCTTCTTCCTCTGTTGCTTCAGGCGAATAAAGACCAATCATTGTGCCTGGGATGGATGCTTACAAGCTTTTAAGACCCCAGGCACTACACAATGAACTAGGAGGTAGAACAGAAGCACTAAACATGTTATTAGGCCAATTAACTGGGATGTCCCATGAAACCATGACCCTGAACTTCCAAACCAAGGAACCAAATCCCATGAGGTGTTTGGTTGTACATAAGCAGCCTCAGCAGCTCCTCTTCTTCTTCTTTTTATTTTTTGTTGGCGGCGGGGGGTCTTTGTTGTAAAGAAACACACTTTTAAGAGAACTGTAAATTGCCTGGCACATACGTGGGCTGATTAATTTTCTCAGCCAACACACAGAGGGCAGCAGCACTGGGACTAACCCTTCTGAGGTCTCTCCCAGGCACAGTAACCTCCAGCTGAGCCTGGGCTGGCCAGAGGAGGTAAGAGGTGAGTTGGGGACCTGGCATGGCTGTTCCCCACTGTTCCGAGCTGCACTGCTTACCTCATGGCTTGGTTGATGTCTCATTTTCTCCAGCGCACTCACAGAAGTGTGCCAGGACGCCCACCGAGGGCCCCGGGAGGGTCTGTCCCTGGTGAAATTCATACCCAACAGGTCCAGCCATTGGCCTGTGTGTCAAGTGGGCAGTCTTCAGAGCTAGCCTAGCACCAAACTGGGAAAACATCTTCTAGGCTACCTCCCACCTTCCTTCTGCCTTTTTTCGTTTGTAGGGTCCCCTCTGCCTTCCCTTCAAGGCATTGTTAACTGTTAAGATGCCCCGAACCCTGGACATCTCCTACTTATAGCAACCCCATGTGACAGAGTAGAACTGTGCTGTAGGGTTTCCTAGGCTGTAATCTTTACAGCAGCAGATCACCAGGTCTTTTCTTTAGTGGAGCCCGTGGGTGAGTTCAAACTACCAACCTTTTGGTTAGTAGCCAAGTGCTTAACTGTTGCCCCACCAAGGCTCCTTTTTACAAAGGCGATTGTTGTTGTCGTTGTTGGGTGCCATTGAGCCAGGGACAGATTACCCAGTAAGCAAGGTACACATGGGCTTACTTGTGCTTGCTAATCTGGAGTGCACAATTTCACATGGATTTCACACCATCAAAAATGTGGTCACATGTGGTGTAACCCACGTGAAATTGTGCACTCCAGATCACAAGTAAACCCCCGTGTATCTTGCTTACCCTAAGCCCATGCATACCTTGCTTATTGGTTAATCTGCCCCTGCGTCAAGTCGATTTTAACTCATAGTGATCCTATAGGACAGAGTAGAACTGCCCCATAGGAGTCTCTAGGTTGTAATCTTTATGGGAGCAGATCGCCAGGTCTTTTCTCTCATGGAGCCACTGAGTGGGTTCAAACCACCAACCTTTCAGATGGCAGTGGAGCGCTTAACTGTTGCATCACTTTACAAAGATAGTTGTTGTTCCGTCCTGCCGAGTTAATTCCGACTCATAGTGACCTTATAGGACAGAGGAGAACTGCCTCATAGGGTTTCCTAGGCTATAATCTTTACAGCAGCGGGTTGCCAGGTCTTTTCTCCCAAAGAGCTGCTGGGTGGGTTCAAACTGCTGACCTTTCGTTTAGCAGTGGAGCGCTTAACCATCATGCCACTAGGTGAATTATTCTTTCCAGGGGTGTTTACAGTTTAAAATAAACCCTCCGGAAAGGGCACCGCTTCACGTAAAAGAATGAAGGTTGAATGGTGGGATTTCAGACTTTGTGTTTTGTTCTGCAGGTAGGGAGGAAGGCATTGTTAAAGGAGACAGGAGTCTTCCCAGGGGACATCAGTGTCAGGCAGACAGCTGCCTTCTGTGGGTCTGCGAATGAAGTGCTGTAAACTTCACCGTCAAGCAGGCTTTCACAGGCAGGAGCTGGGAAAGGGGAAGGGGTTAGGGGTTCCACCCACTCCAGCAAGGGCATCTTTCTCAGTTCCTTCTTCCTGAGCCTGGACTCTGTCTCCGGCCTCCCCATTGAGGTTGAACCCTGCGTCGCCCATGTCTTGAGAGCTATGAGAGAGCGGGAAGGTTCCTCTTCCAGAGAGTGACCATGCCCCACCCAGCAAACCACAGCCCCCTTCCTGGGGCCAGAGAGCAGCTCACAAAGAGGCTGTCTCACTCACCACCTCTGCCTCCTTCTCCTCCCAGGCAAGCTCTACGGGGCTGATGACTTCCTGCCCGTGCTCATGTATGTGCTGGCCCGCAGCAACATCACGGAGATGCTCCTTGACGTGGAGTACATGATGGAGCTCATGGACCCGGCCCTGCAGCTGGGGGAGGGTAAGTCACCACCCTGGGCCTTGCCCGGCCTCCCAGGCCCCTTGTACCCCTCAACCCAGCCCGACCAGAGAACACTATGCAGTCCAACAAGCACCTCCTGGGTGCCAGATTCCTGCTGAGCTCTGGAGACCCGGGGGCTCATGGACTGGGAAGAGAGATGGGCCAGTAAACAGATGATGATGTGGGAATGGTGGGACGCTCAGAGGGCCCCACCATACCCAGGCCATGCAGTCTGGGAAGGCCTCCTGGAGGAGGTGACAGGGGTATAGTGAGGGTAACAAGTGCCCAGAGGAAATCTTGAAATTGCCCCGCCACCCCAGTTTCAAGATGAATAGACGTTGATAGCAGCCACACGTCAGCAGATACGGCCTCCCCCGTCTTGTCTGGCTGCCTCGGTCAGGCGCCTTTCATATTTGTGGCACCTCAGCATGTCATTCTGTGCCTCGTCTGGTGGCCCCTTGGGCTTGCACCTGGGGGCAAATGCCCTCCTCTGCCTCCCCCAGTTGCTTCCGCCTCTGGGAGGTGACACCTGCTCTGAGTGATGAAGGATGAATAGGAGCCAGCCAGCCAAAGAAGGGGAAAGGCATTCTCCCCAGAGGGAACAGCAGGAGCTGGGAGTGTGAAGATTGAGGCTGAAGCAGTGAGCAGTGGCTGTGGTCAGGTGTCACAGCGGGGGTGATGGTCAGTTCTGAGTTGAGGGAGACCCCTGGGGACTCTCATCCACCTTCTTCTCCAGCCCTGGCCAGGCCCTCTGTCAGTGCGGGGAGGCTAATGATTTGGGCAAAGGGATGAAGGCGGGATGTGGTTTGCTCCACCCCACTCTCAGTTTCCCTTCCCCTTTGCTCCTTCCCACCACTTCCCCCTGCCCACCTAGCCTCAGCTGCCCTCTGCCGAGAGCCCCCTGGCCCTCATCATCCCGGGTGCAGCCACCCGGGTACCAGCTTTGAGGGAGTCCCTAGTCATCCTCTGAGACACCAGTCTCGAAGGATGGAGCGAGAGTCCCAGACCTGAGTGTCCCCTGTGGCCTTTGTGGTTCTCAAGATCGGCAGTCTGCTTTGCATCTATTTGCATTTTTAGCATGTACCAGTCCCTAGGGTGACAGTTTGATGGTGGATGGCTCTGTGAGTTCTTGGCATCTCAGAAGAAAGTCTTAAGGCCGTGAAGTTTTCTGTCATATATAGCTTTGGCTGTGGGCCTGGGACCTCCAGGAACTATGTTTTCTCCTTTTTAGTGAAAATTAATTTTTCTGCATTTGGGACAACCTGTCTTCCAAGAAATCCAGGAATCCGGAGAAGCTGGGCTTCCTTCAGCAGTGATTCTCTGCTGCCCACTGCATGCATGCATCCACCTATCCACCTGTCTACCTCTGTCCATCCATCCATTCATCCACCTATCCATACATCTACCCATCCATTCACCTACCCATCCATCCATCCATCCATCCATCCATCCATCCGTCCATCCATCCATTCACCCACCCATCCATTCACCCATCCATCCATTCATCCATCCACCCACCTATCCATCCATCCACCCATTCATCTGTCCACTCATCCATCTGTCTGTTCACCCACTCAGCCACCCATCCATCCATCCATCCATCCATCCACCCATTCATCTGTCCACTCATCCATCTGTCCGTTCACCCACTCATCCACCCATCCATCCATCCATCCATTCATCTGCCCATCCATCCACCCGTCCATCTGTCCACCCATCCATCTGTCTGTCTATCCACTCACCCACCCACCCACCCATCCATCCATCCACCAGTTACTTAGTGAGCCCCTACTATGTGCCAGGCCCTGTGCCAGGCGCTTGGGCTGCAGTACAGGGCAAGACAGATGAGGCCAATATTTTCGTGAAAATAAACAAATGCCTTGACTGAACCTTGCACTTTGGGGCCTCCATCTCTGGCCTTCACGGGCCTTCCTCTTTGGTCTTCCCTGGCCCTGGACATGCACACAGAAGCACAAGAAGGCTGGGGAGGTGGGCAGAGGCCTCCAGGCAAAACTGACCCATCTCCCACAGCCTCACCAGCCTGGGGGAAAGGAAGCAAAAGGAGGGGGAGGCAGGAGGACTGCCAGGGGCTGTGAGCAGAATTAGCTTCCTTGCCCCTGCCGCTAAACACCCTGTTTCCTAGGACTAGCCCCTGAGAGCTACAGCAACCCACCCAGCCCCCTCAACAGGTGTCTTCACTGTGATGTGGTTGTCATACATGTAACCTCAAAAGGTTAAAACGTTTACATGTCAAAAATTACCGTAAATAGAATAAGATATGAACAGTAAACCAGGAAACAGAAAGCGTTCCCACAGACAGGCACACCAAGAATTAACAGCCTTAATATGTAAAAGGCTCTTATATATCAACAAGAAAAGCACAAAGACTCTAATAGGTATCTGGGCAAAGGCTATTTATTCATCCATTCAGCAGATATTCACTGAGCTCCTACTTTGTGCCAGGTGACAGCAAGTTCCTTTTCCCATGGTGTTTCTTTCCGGTGGGGGGTTTGGGGGCGGGTGTCAGACCTTAAACATGTTAAACAAATAATCAAACAAGGTAAGTTCACGTCTGATCTCACCTGATGAGTGTTGAGAAGAAATGAAGTACGCTGGTGGGATAAAGGGATTGGGCAGGAGAGGCAGCAGAGTCTGCCTTGGCTCAGGTGACGAGGGAAGACCTGGGCAGAGTAGTTACTTCCTATTACTTTCTTCTGTTTTCCCATTTTCCATGGTGGGCTTGTGCTGCTGCTATAACTGGGCTGGGGGTGGGGAGTCATTTAAAACCCTGTTATAAGATTAGTACTGACTCCACAGGGTTGTTATGAAGTCTGAGACAGTGTCCAGGGAAGCCCTTTCGGGGCAGAGGGTGGAGCGGCCCCTGGGTGCTCTGCAGAAGGTCTGAGCATAGGTGCTCTTCCGGGATGGTCAGCCACACCCTGACCATAGGGACTCCTGCACCCTTCTCAGCTTGAGTCCTTGCAGCCCAACAGACCTCCAGGTACAGTGGCCAAGCCAGGGTCCCAGCTGTCCTCTCCTCATGGGTTTCCCCCTCCCCCCATGGCCTCCTGGGCTCCTTCTTCCTGTTCCCAGAAGCCTATAGGTTTGGGTAGGACAGCCGATGTCCTTCAGGAAGGAGAGCTGGTCTATGCTGAGCTCCTTTAAGTATTTCTGAGGCAAGCCGAAGTACAAATAGGGGCAGTGGTGGTTCAGTGGCAGAATTCTCGCCTTCCGCACGGGAGACCCAGGTTCAATTCCTGGACAGTGTGCCTCATGCATAGCCACCACTGTCTTTACGTAGAGGCTTGTGTGTTACTGTGATGCTAAGCAGGTTTCAGCGGAGCCGATGACCTTGGGGGTCTGCAGCTTGGGCAGGAGCGTCAGCCTTCCAAGTCTGCCAGCTATCAGACCCCCTTCTCAATGTGTCTAGGCCCAAGGGCAGAGGGACAGAGCACGAGGACAGAGGTGTCTAAGTTCCCCTGCTTTGCCCTTCTTTCTCAGGTGGGTGGTGGCACCCAGGTACTCCATTTCGTCGGCTGCTGAGGTGCAGGTGGAAAGAGGGGTCCTGCCTGAAAGGGGAGAGCAGGGGAGGCTGACTAAGCCTCTTCGGGGTGCCGGTCCCTGCCATCCGGACTCCTGGGAACTTACGTTGCTCGAACCTAAGGGGAGAACTAACTCGAAGTGTAGTAGAAACATTTGGGAGTCAGGTTTTTTTCCATTTCTGCCTCTGGCTGCCTGGAGACCTTGGACAAGTCACTGAGCCTCAACAGCTTGGGAAAGTGAAGGTGCTGGGCTAGATTTGGGGTTCTCACACTGTCCAGAGGCCCTGGCGGCCCACAGAGGTAGCTGGGGGCAAGATGAGGGCGGGATTGGCTCTGCTTGCCCAGTTCCATCATCCATGTGAACAAACAGTTCTGTGTTCAACCAAAAGCCTGGAAACCCGGCCCTGGGACCCTCTGAGGCTTTTAGGCCCTTCCAGTTGGTTCCGCATGCCGTTGTTGGGCAAAGAACCAGTGACTGGGTCCCCCTTTCTTCGCAGCAGGTATGTCGGGCGGGAAAGATGGGGACTTCCTGTGAGAAGTAGGGAGGGCCTGAACGCTGGGTTGATGGGACCCCAGCCCCCTTCTAGCCTCCCTCCCCAGCTCCCACCACCCTGGGCAGATGCCGGTCAATCACGGGGCCCATTCATCATGGGACACCTGGCCAGAGCCAGCTCAAAATCTAGACCTCCCCCAGAAGCGCCCTTGTGGCCTCCTTTGCCCACATCCCCTTCCATGCTGGCTGACAGCTGGCCACGCTGGGTTAATATCTTACCAGGGCAGTCCATTTTTTCAATCAATACACAACACCCTCTCCCCAAAGAAAACAGGCTTCAAAAGTCACAGTAGGGTCGCCTTCCACCTAGTGGTCCTTGACGGTACTGCATGGTCCTAAGTCAAAGGGAGGTCAGCTGGGAGGGCCTCATACTGAAAAAGCAGGGCTTTGTGAAAAGCAGGGCTTTGTGAAAAGCAGGGCTT